GACAGGCGGTTTAGTAACTTGGCTTACACACTTACAAGCTTACATCTCATTATCTCACCCAGAGTTGTCCACGGACCTACGCAGTCACAACAAGGGATTTTGCTTTGGTCATTAAATCTCAATGACAAGAACCTAGCATTAGCCTTTTTTATCACTGATTTAGGACAGGATTTGCGTATAAAGATTAACAAACACATACACATTTAAGCAAAAGTTGAAGAACCAATATAAAAGATAATTAGCAAAGCCATTCTATATAAATATATGCATATTAATTTTATTTTGTTTAATTGAATCCAAATAAGAGGTAAGATAGAGTCGGATAGTTTTCTTGACCTGGTCTTAGGATGAGACTTTTAAAAGAATGACTTCCTGCGATTATGTCCATTATATGACGGACAAAAGTTCAGTTCGAAACAAGGAAGAATGTCTCGTGGACTGCGGCAGCCTGAACTTTGAATCAAAGGCAAACGGCTGCAGTACAACGGGAAATAGCCTTCGTCTTCTGCTGAGATCGACCATCGAATCTCTTCTTCAGGTAAATTCATAAAAAATAGAAGTCTGCCCAAAAATAAAAAAGTAAACTTAAAGACAAAGAGTAGGCCGGATTTTAAGGAGATAGAGATAATAAATGTGGATCGCTTTGATTATCTAAAGTTTGATGGTTGAATGAAAAACAACTAAGTACTCATCCATGTCGGATAGTAGAAAAGAACTTGACAAGAAATTTTTGAGTATACTATCAATTTGATATTGAAACCAGCAGCGAAACCAGCTTAGCAGAGAAACTTAAGCATTGGTTGAGTAGTGTTCGTTCGGCTAATAGTTATTTAACATATAGCTGTAGGCTATCCGCGAACCAGATTTTAGTTGAACCAGATAGCACCAAAATCTTAATTTGTTGGTCATTATAGATAGATATTATTATATTTAAAACAAGTAATAGTAGATCCTTACTATCAAACAATAATATAACTTCATCTACAAAAGCATAAGCAATAATTTGTAAATTCTAGATCAATAAAAAACTATCTG